AAAAAAAATGCACTTATTGTGTTCTTGAGACATGCAGCAAAAATTTTTCTTATTATGTCGTTGGAAAAATCATTACTAGTTCCTATAAAGGAAATAATATTCAAGCTTTCTAAGGAGATCATCTTTACTCATTATCGACTCAATGTATTCCATTTTTCTCACTCTATTACTCGCCATACACCCCCGCACTATTACTCCTCCACTACCGTGTTTTATTGTTGAATACAAATCTTCATTATTAAAGGCAGTACCCGGAATTCGCCATATAATCGTTCGACCTTTAATGCTAAAGAGGCAAAATTTGCTTTCGTCTGAAAAAATTATGCGTTTCCAAAATTCTGGAGACTTATTTAAATACTCCCTTTCGAATGCTAAACGCTTCATTCTAATAGCTTTGGAGATAAGCGGCTTGCTTCGTACAAACCGGCCATGGTAGTGGTATTTTTTTAATATTTTGTGTACAGTATCCACGTGAATTTGCTTCTGGAATGTCTGGTCAATATATTTCTATAACAGAAGTCCAGTTAGACGAGGATTATCTTTCACTGAATTAATAATGCTGCGGGTTTCTCTTGTTGACAGCTTGGATGGACGCCCAGATCCCAACTTCTAGGTCAATAATCCTATTTAGTTGTAGTTGTTCACTACTCTTTGGATAAAATAATGTGACCGCTTAACGATTTGATCAATTTTGGGATACATTTTCCTTTTTTTCCATAAATCAATAATAATACTGCTTTCACTGATAATAATTTCTTTTCCTTTATTTGTCATTAAAAAGTTAATTACTTTTTAATCATTAAATTATAAAATAAGTGCGTGGGATTGTGTATAATGATATACTGGTACAGTAAAACATAAAGCACGCCAAAGTTCTACTATTAAAACTTCGGGAATTCCCCTTTATATGTTTTGTACGCAGACTTTTTCTGCCACTGATAGCGCTGATTTTTTACATTTTTAATTATTATAATTTTTCTACTAATGTGTTAGAAATAAGTTTTAGCTTAAAATAAAGTCAACTAATTAAAGTACAAACAAAAAATAAAATTGATTTAAAAAATTTATTTATATAATCATTTTTTATATGTTGAAACAAAATTTACTTTTTGTACGCAGAGTTTTTCTGCTAAGTGTATATCATATTACATGAAGATCGATAACAGCTTCATCACTTCAACACTTGTCTTCCTTTTCACACGCATTTTAGTCGACATCTTATTTTCTTTCTATTATAAAAATACAATTTAATATTAAAATTTAAAATGACTTTAACAAAATTCAAATTGTATCCCAAAATGATCAGTTTTTCAAAATTCACATTCTCTGATTTATGCTACAATAATTTTAGAAACATTGGTCAAATTCAACGCTGAAGGGTACGATTTGGAATCCAACCCCAAAATGCTATGACATTGTAGAATTGCATAAATCAGAGATGCCCTTTATTGATCTTACTATGTGCCCAACTACTCCAACTGATCAAGTAAGCACCTCAAAACAGTAAAAGAATATATTTAAAATAATAACAAATAAAAATTAGGTTGAAAAAAACAAACTCAACATTGGGCCTCAATATTTATCCAATAATGAGGAAGAAAGTGATGTAGGTCAACCAAACAGGAAAGTGGATATTGCTACAGAAATATTAGCGGATACTAATGAAAGCATGTTTGAAGTGGTAATTTTATTTTGTCCTACATTCATTTTTAAAGCAAAAATTCTTAAATTGACCTACTCAAATATATTAACACAATTCTAGCATCATTTATTAAATTCCACGCCGACTGACAAAGTCGAAAACTCTATACCAGAACGCTGTAGAAGTGTTGTAGAATCAATTTCGAAAGTGTGGCAATTACTTAATCCCAATGGCAATTCCGTTCCAACTGGTCGGGTTAGTATTTCAAACCTAGTGTACGAGCAATTTATTAATACAACAAAAAAACAAATATAGGTGCAAAAAATCAGACTTAATAGAAGAATATTAAATCCTCCAAAAAGGACAATGGATACAAATTTCAAAGATAAACTGAACTTAATTGAAAGATCGTTGAAAAAGGTAAACACCGAAAACTAAATATTTTTATATACAATATTATTTATATTCACTTATATATATATAATAATACAACTCTAGAAATGCACAGAAACAAGCGATCATACAAGTACAGATATAAATAGAAGGAGCTATCCTGAGGATTCAAGTGATAAAGATTTGTCGAACAGTTGTTCGATTCAGGATTCAAGCACAACAAGCGCTGATGACTTGGAGTCAATTGCAGATCTGAACGAAAACATATTTAAGCCGGTAAGCGCCATAAAATATGTGTTCATTTCAATTTATTTGTAAGATATTGTAGGTGCGAGGTAATTGCAAGAAAAAGTTTGTTATGAATAAAACTGTAAAATGAAAGAAATTTGAAAAACAATTATTTCGAACAATTATTTGCAACTTCATATTTTATACAACGGAAACGTAAATGCATTGATATATTATATTGTGCTTGAAATAATTCCAAGATATATATTTTATACGTTTATATATGTTTGAATATAGTACATATATTTTTCATATATTTAAAAATTAATATTTAATATTATTTATTTAAAATTGATTTATTCATATATTTATTTATTTATTTGGATATATTTATATTATTCTTTTAAAACTAGTTAATTTTTATTCGCCACTGCTATGCCTAATGCATCAATAACTGTAACCATTTCTTATATGACATGAGATAAAATCCGTAAATAATTATTTATGTATAAATAGTAATAATAATGGAACATACATCTTGCGGCTTTCCATCACTTTTGTAATAAAATTGTGGTAGCGATTAGCAGATATTTTTGATTTCACCACAATATAAATAGAACAAAATAGCTTTCTACCACGAATTGCAAATGATAAAACTTCTTTTGAAAGACTTTTGTGCCATAGTAGTTAATATCTTACAAGCTGTCTTCTGGTCGATCTTACTAAGATCGTACGAAAAACATTCAACGATCTTTGCCAGAATTGCCCAGTTAGTCGTCATATAATTGCTATGCCAATTATAAGTAAATACAATTCCCGAACCAACTCTTCTTGTGTTCAAATTGTACTCCTGTATTCCACATCAATTCAGTCTTTTTAAATAGTGAGTTAGTGCCCTATTTATTTAGGATGTAATATATATAATATTCTAAACATATGTGTAGAATTGTAATATAATGTTAATGTAGATTGTACGCTACATGGTGCTAACCCAGATCCTTAATCTGTATTAGCTTGGTAGCCTATTTTGTGTGTGAAGTAACTTGAGCACTTCTAACTCAAACTAATCGATATGAGAAAAAGAAATTACGTTTGATTTGTATTGTATTTTCTTTCTGAACTTAATTAAAATTATTTACTGAATAATTTGCATAATATTGAATTATGCATTAATTAACAAAAAATATTAATGCATTATTCACAAAATAATAAATTTTTTAATATTTCAAATTCATAATAATATGACACTTTCTTCAGTGCACTGACCACAAGAAAAACTGATGAAAACTGATTCTGAGCTTCACATTTGGCAGGACCCGAGTTCGATTCCTGGTACTTGCAGTCTCAAAAAATAATTATTTACGAATAATTAAATACAAGAATTATTTCCAAGACCACTGATGATGGGTATTTGGCAATACTCGAAACAGCTGTATGGTTAGCCAAAAATTCAATTAATTAAAATAATATAAAAAAAAAATAAATTTTTGTTGTTGTATTTCACTACTGTTCGAAAAAACCTCTTTAAAAAATTATTAAATAATATTAACTAAATATAAACATAAACATATATACAATAAATTATATATAGTATACATACTGTGAATTGTAAATAACATAAATTTATGGTCAAAAGTATGAAACTTATAAAAAATCTATTCAAAAAAAAGAAATTACTAGTAAGAAGGAAAATATAGAAACTACTAAATTTGTTCTTAAAAGCGTTCCGTTCTTTCTATTTGAACTACTATTATTAAAAAGATATATGATTTTATTGGTGTTTTCAAATTTATTTTATTTTAAGTTCAAAAGTACTGAAGCAGTTCTATTGTTGCTTACCTTTATGAAGCAGCTGATTATCACTTCAGTGAGTTCAAAACTGTTGCATAAAAAGAGTCACACTTAACTTACAATTACTACGGCATATTAATTGCATTTTCTTTTGCTTTGCAACTTCTTTCAGTCATCACTGATATATCAAAAATAATTTTACATCTTAGCACATATTACTTGATTTTAAGTTAAAAAGTACTAGAACTAAGTACTAAGATCTATTGATTGCGTGCTTTATGAAGTAACTGCTTACCCTTTTAGTGAGTTTAAAACTGGTGCTTCAAAACCCAGCAACCCTGTATAGTACTAGTCGCTTCATAGAGGCTCAGTTAGACGGCAGGTAACGCAAAAAATTAATTCAAAGCGAAATGCACAACCAACCTAACCTTAGTATTTATATACCTATATACCTGCCTATATAGTTCGCCGCTTTTGTTTATTTTGTTCCTATCAAATACGCAGGTTTGGTTGGTTATGCATTTCGCTTTCAATTAATTTCTTACGTTACCTACCGTCTAACTGGGCGTTAATGCAGTTTACGTTGGCTCAATTGGTGAATTTTATATTGAGTTGTCATTGCCGGTGTCAATTGTCCCCGTACGATGCACCGCGGAACTTGTCTTTTCACTAGTTCCTGATGTGGAAAATAAATAAAACGTTCATTTTATATATTATTACATACATATTTATTTTAATTTGTGTATATATACATATTAAATATTTTTATATTAATAAATTACTTTCTAGCTAATTGTGCTGCAGTTAAATCAAATTGTCTAGGGACTTAACTGATGATCTATAGATGATGTTGCAACCTTATCTTTAATTAAATTTCGTATCTTTAATTTATTCGTATTCATCGTAGCGTGTTTTAATGACTTATGTATATCGTAGCGTGTTTTAATTCTAGATATTATTATATAATATTATTTTACATATTTTTGTATTATATTTTTAAAATTATTTGCAATAAATTAGCAGTAAAAGCGATATTTATCCAATGTAAGTAAGACCTTATAAAATCAATATCTGTTAACATTACTTGATCTGAACTTAATAGGTTCACAGTCCCACTAAGCATAATGTTGTATGTTTTTACATATTCGCTCTATCGCAAATCAACGCTCTATTGCGAAGGAGGCATTTTATTAAAAACAAGAGAACGAAGCCTATTGCTCTCAATTTGTTTATACACAACAAGTATAAGCAGTGGACTTTTGTTTCAACTGGTGAATCATTGCATTACCAGGGATCGGAATATGTGATAGTGTTCCAAAATAGTTATATGTGGTTGAATTTCTTTGTTTCTCATTTGTTTGGTATTCTCTTCGTTCAAAAATAATAAAATGCGCTATTAAATTTTATACAAAAAAAGTATTAAAAAATTTATATATTCTAA